AATGAAAAGGACACTCAACTCAGGAGAAGCAATCTGATGGTCTCTTCAGATTTTCAAGGATCAGGAGTAGAAGCACTAATAAAAAAAAAACAACATATCGTCATGTACCCAATGAAGTCTATCCACCCAGAGGATGCACCGGTCACAACATTTCTGGAGGGCAGTTTGGCACAATGAATCAAAAGTCTTAAAGAGGTTTACACGTGACCTATCCACCTCTAGGAATCGTGCTGAAGGCGACGAGCAAGCAAGTGTACAGAAAGGGTGGCTGCTCCCGTTTACTTAATATAGAGAAAAGCTACAAAGGATGCACACGTTCAAAAATAAATTTTCAGTTCATGGTGGTACTCTTGGCATTTGGGAGGGGTCAATTCTCCTTCCAGCGCTATCGTCTGATACTTTTCAGGCTGTTTAGCATCCCAAGCCCCCACCCACTGAAATACTAGTGGAGGTTCCCTAGTCATTTTGACAATAACTACCCGCTTCTGAGATTTTTTTTTTTGATGTGGACCGTCTTTAAAGTCTTTATTGAATCTGTTACAATACTGCTTCTGTTTTATGTTTTGGTTTCTTGGCCTCGAGGCATGTGGGATCCCTGACCAGAGATGGAACCCACATCCCCTGCACTGGAAGATGAAGTCTTAACCTCTGGACCGCCTGGGAAGTTCCCCCACCCCTCAACCCCTGCTTCTAAACATACATTTCCAAGCACACCCTAGTGGTGGGTGGTGCCACTACAGGTTAGTAACTACCAGTGGAGAACTATACAGCCACTCGCAAAGGTAATCTGGGTCTAAATATAGAAAAAAATGCAGAAAGAAAGTTCACGATACATAAACTGAAAAAAATTTCAGGATAAGTGGACAGCATCATCACATTTCTGTCCAGAACAAAACAGAAATGTACCCCATATATATACTTGTTTCACACATGCAAAAAAGGTTGGAAAACAATTTTCCTTGGTTGGGAGAATTATGAGTGATTTTTATCTGCTTTCTTTCTTCTTATCTTTCCCTTTTTTCCAATGGGCAAGTCTTCCCATTATAGAAGGAGAAAGCTATTCCTGTTTTGGAGGACAAATGGTGACCCACCTGTCACCTGTCCCTCACACCATTTCACTTCTTGTTTTGACTTCTCGGGAGGATGGCAGGATCCACCTCGGAGAGCACTGGCCTCTGCTTGAGCAGCGTGGGATCACCTTCTTCGCTCTGCCAAACACTCAGCCTCCTTTCAAGGCAGCAGCTATAACACCAGGGCTAGGACCTGGTAGGTGCTCAAATAAAGGTTTGCTGAATTGAGTCATCCTTTTCTTGTCCTGACTGGGCCCGACTTGTGCTGACATGTCCTCCAGGTTCTACCATTACTTTTACCCAGTGGTTCTCAACTGGGGTGCCCGGCTCATCCCCCAGGGGCAATGGGCAATATCTGGATACATGTTTGGTCACCCCAATGTTGCAGGGAGAGGGTGGTGAGTGCTACTGACATCTGGTCGGTGGGGGCCAGGGACGCTGCTAATCGTCCTACAATGCACAGGACCGCCCCGACACCAAGAATTATTCAGCTTAAAATGTCAACAGCACTGAGACTGAGAAACCCTGCTCACAGTTTTCCTTTCTTAAAGCTTGTTAAATAATTTCCAAATTCTTCCTAAAGTATTATCTACTGTAAATGTATCACCACAGCATCTCTAGGAGACAGGGCACATACAATGAATTGCTCAAGCCTGAAGAGAAATTGGAGCCTCATAGATAACTTCAGAGGGTCAATCAGGGAAGATTCCAGTTCTCTGCTCTGCCTCCGCAGGGCTCTCTAGATAATACTAAACATCTCATTTGCAGCGAGCAGAGGCAAAGGATCTGGGCAACTTCTCCGATCAGTTTTCAGTCCAGCCATTAAAAAATACAAGAGAGAAGCCTTTCTTTTCCAGCATCGACTGTTACATTTATCATTTTCCACACTATTTTAAGAAGGTTGCGTTTTGCAGCTAATGGATTTTTATAAAATTAAGTGCCGGTGTTCAAGAACACCTCCCTAAAACGGAGGTAACTTTTGTTCACATTATATTGAACCGAAGAAGGCATTTCTCAGAAGAAATAGAATAATAAAGAGTGTCACCTGAAGGCATATTACCAACCCCACGACCAGGGAATAAAATGAAAGGTTTCTAACAAGAATGAAAACACGTTACTTGGAACCCTAACTTGTCTTGACTATTTCTCCTCCAGCACAAAGCATTTTAATGTTCACTGTAATTTCTCTTGATAGAAAAATGGTTTTTCTCAAACCAGAGACCACTAACATCGTATTAAACATCAGAATTTTTATTAGTAAAAGGCATTTAGGGTCTCAAATTTTTCTAAAAGCTACTAGGCAGCTTTTAAAAAATCTTCAAACCTATAATCAGTTCCATTAATAATAGACTTTAAAAGATCTCATAATTAAAAAATTTGAAGACCATTTTTTTCATGCAACATGATCCCCTGAAACACCTTTAATACAGATCCATAGTTTATTAGACAAATATAGAGCCCTTCAAACAGCTTAAAGAGACAGTCTCTCTCTGGAGAACAATTTCCTTTCTAATCACCTGTATCATATAGGTTTGAGTAAGTGTAGGGAATAGAGAAAACCATTTAAAGAAAAATACAGTTATAAGAGATGGGAATATCCTGCCATCTGACATAATTCAAACCACTTGTTTAATAGCATTAATCTTTTTTTTTTATTTATTAAAAAAATTTTTTTTGGCTGTGTTGGGTCTTCACTGCTGTGCGCGGGCTCTCTCTAGTTGCAGCGAGTGGGGCCTACTCTTCATCGTGGTGCGTGGGCTTCTCTTGTTGCGGAGCACAGGCTCTAGAGCGCAGGCTCAGTAGTCGTGGCACATGGGCTTAGTTGCTCCCTGGCATGTGGGATCTTCCCGGACCAGGGATCGAACCCGGGATCGAACCCGTGTCCCCTGCAGTGGCAGGCGGATTCTTAACCACTGCGCCCACAGGGAAGTCCTAGCATTAAACGTTTTCTTTCAAAACAAATCAAAGAAAGTCATTTTATGTTTTCCAAAGACATTCACTTTGGATGAGGCAAGTGGCCTTCAAAAATACATAAGCACTTACTTTTGGAATTGGTGAATGTAACCAAGATCTTTAGCTTCTGCAACTGCCTGTTCTCTTGGGGCAGTAGAAAATGTTCTCTGAATATGAACACCATAGAATGATATTTAATGGCCTTAGAAAAGAATCTACCTAAGCAGGGAACTGAAAATAGCTTAACTTTGGAATTTCAGGGCCCAACTCAGCAGGAAGCAATGTGAATAAAAGAAGCGTGGGTCTCTTAGAAGCTGCTGGAAATGAGGTTAGCAAGAAAACGAAACAAGCTCACAGCTGTATCGAGGTGTGAAAACTCACTGCTCAAGTACTGCCAGTAGAATCGTGATGTCAAACACAGATATTCAGTCACCCACCACCTCATCTGAGTTTCCAGACAAACTCAATCAAATACTCTCATTCTTCTTCAACTTACTCTTTAATAATACAGTCTTTATTGGAACAGAAGAAAATCAAGATATAACCTTAACCTACAAACTAACAGAGAACACACTTCTTTCTTTCTGCTGATAACCCAACACAGAAGTCCCTTCAATTCTCATGCAGATTATTTTCTGTGAATGTTTCTGTTCTAAGACATTTTCTTCCTAGTAAGAATGAGAGTAGAGATCACAAACCGGAAGTGCCTGTGGGGTGTAGGAAGATTAACACAAAAGGGCTTAGTGGAGACTAGGGTGACTTGGAGAGTCATTCTTTCTAAACACTTCCTGGAAAGAAGTACTAGTGCTCAACTCAATGGCCTGCACACAAATCCCTGAAGAGTAAGATTTTAAACTTTAAAATTAAAATTTCCTAATTTTTAAGTGTTAGTAATTTTTAAGTATTAGTGACTAATTCGAAATTTAAACAATCCTTTGCTGGCTAAACAAATCCTGCCTGTGTGCTTGATTTCATCTGTTAATTTACAACCTCAGAAAGAAAGAAAGAAGAAGAAGAAGAAATGGCTCAGGGAAGACGAGATCGGGTGCATTCAGGGTGGTATGGCCATAGACAAGAAATGGCTAACCAAAGAGATGTTATCAGGGTCCCATCCTTAAGTTCTTGGTGAATTCTTAGGTCTTCCCTAACCGTAAAGAACCTTTTCTAAAAGCATCATCACATCTCAAGTTCCTGACTTCACATTTCAGGGTTTTTAAGCTTCAAAACATTGTCAGACATAGAGAAGATCTCCAGAGAAAGAAGCTTCTTGTGTCAAAGGAAGGGTATAGTGGTCTCACACTTAAGATTCTGATAAACCTGTGTCTCAAAGACGCACAGGGAAGATCATGACAATATCCAGCTTACAGGAGGGGCTTCTGTGAGGACAGAAGGCTCGTGGAAGATGAAAGGGCTCGTGGAAGAGAAAATTCCAAGTACCAAGAAATGCAAAGCAGAAGTTGTATATCACTGAGAGAAATGCAGTAAAACGAAAGAAACCAAGTTCATCTAACCAAGTTAATAATATTTACAACCTGTGGGCAGTGCCAAAATATTTCAGGAAACGTCAATGTCTTTCTTTGTAAAGCCAGGCCAAACTTTTGAACACAGCATTAGATCACTGGGAAGAAGAAGGTAAATCCTTATTTCCTTACAAAGAATCTTAACATTAAGATTGATGGCCAACGTAGAACGTCCCTTCCCTCTCCAAAAATGAAGTTTCATTATCTAATGTTTCGAGGCAATCTTTTGGTAACAGTTAAAAATGGCAATACAGAATGAATTAGCCATGGCCCACCCAAGGCTCAGTTTCATTTCTCTTTCTGGTTTCCCATTGGGGCCCCAGACATCTTCATCCCATGTAGCCCCACTTCTCTGAATCAGCAAAGTCAACTCTCCCTTCTGAACAGGAATGAGGAAGGACGGGTAAGACACAGGTAAAAGCCAACCCCACAAATGCCCTCCTGTCGAGAACGGTACCTGTTCAGGCTTCAGCCCCGGCGGGACCCAGGCGTACTCCTCCAAGGCACAGCCTGAGTCGTCATCCGAGGTCGAGTTCCTCTGGAAGTCAAACATGAGTTTGCTGACAGTCTTCTCCATCGCCAGGGGCATCACCGTCACCATGTGCTCCTCCTGAGGGCACTTGCAGTGCAGGCAGATCTTCCTGCAAGTGGCAAAGGCGGGAGGTGAGAAGGAAGGCAAAAGAAACCATGTTTTTCACTTGGCCGGCCACTCACCAGCCCTTGGATCCCAAACCACAAACACATTCCTTGGCAACCGGCTTCTGGCATCTGAAGGAGAGTTCCACGGCACGCCTGTCTTTGTAGAAGGCGTGGCACTGCGTACCTGGAAACGTCCTGAGCCATCAGAGGCCACCAGGTAAGCACGCTAAGGGTATTTAAACATGGACTGCAACCTCTTCTTCTACATCAGTATCCCAAGAGGAATGTCAGAACACCTTTTATTTTATTAGGTAGAACACTAGATATGGACCTTGACCACAATTTCCTTGACTGGAAGAGTAATTAAATATACACAATACATATGCAGACCAGAAATATTACCAGTAGGTTTAACAAATAGTGACAACATTCCATTTTTATAAAAGGTTTCTAGACCTTAGGAAAAGGAAGTGGTTATAAAAATAACTGCAGGTGAGATTTTCTTTAAGAAGAGCAAAAATATTTTTGCCCATTAAACAAACCTGACCCTAAGATCTCATGGGAAAGACATTTCCACCTCCACTAAAGGTACTTGTAGGTTTGAAATTCTAATTAGAAACCCCAAATTACCCCACATTGGTAGCTTTTTTTTTTAATATACAAGAGGATCATGCATGTGAATTATTTCAAAAGATAGCAGCCAAAGATAACAATTCTCTCCCCCAAATAAAACATTTCTCTTTTAAGATTACCATCTGTTCCCTTTTCCATGGCTACAAAAATGATGAAGCAATAAAAACGCTGATGTCAGCAACACAAGAGCATTTCTAGCTTCTACCAGTAAAATAAAAAGAAAGGAAAAAAATAAAGGAGGAAGTAATTTTAATAAGCTGTTGTACCTGTACTCTGACCTTCAGAATTAGCTTCAGTAGCACCTTATAAAACTGATGAAACAGCCCAGAATTCTAATCCCCATGTGCCTGAATTTTTTGACAACAGCTTTGTGAAGATATAATCCACACACCATAAAATTCACCATTTTAAAGTCTACAATTCATTGGTTTTTATTATATTCTCAGAGATGTGAAAGCATCACCACTAATTTTAGAACATTTTCTTCACCCTCAAATGAAACTCCATGTGCATTAGCAGTAACTTCCCACCTTCCCCTCCCCCCAGGCCCTGACAACCACTAATCTATTTCCTGTCTCTAAAGTTTTACCTGTACTGGAAATTTCATATAATTGGAATCTTACTATATGCAGTCTTTTGAAACTGGCTTCTTTCACACAGCATGATGTTTTCAAGATAAATCCATGTTGAAGCATGTGTCAATCTTTCATTTCCTTTTATTGCATTATAATATTCCATATACTAAATTTTGTTTATCCATTTATCAACTGGTAGACATTTGGATTGTTTCCACTTTTTAGTTTTTTTTTGAATAATGGTGCTTTATTTATGTACGTGGTTTTTTGTATGGATATATGTTTTCAATTCTCTTGGGTATTTACCTAGGAATGGAATTGCTGGGTCATACAGTAACTTCATGTTTAACATTTTGAGGAACTATCAAACTGTTTTCCAAAGTATCTGCTCTTTTTTACATTCCCACATGCTAATGAACGAGTGCTCCATTTTCTCCACATTCTTGCTGCACTTGACACTGTCTTTCTCTTTGATTGTTGCCCAGTGGGTGTGAAGTGGTATCTTACAATAGTTTTGATTTGTACTTCCTTAATGACTAATGATGTTAAGCGTCTTTTTATGTGCTTATTATATATCTTCTTTGGAGAAATGGCTATTCAAATCTTTAGTTCATTTAAAACTGTCTTTTTATTGTTGAACTGAAAGCATTCCTTATATACTTTCTGGATACAAGCCCTTATCAGCTATATGCTTTGTAAAAATTTTCTCTCATTTGGTGGGCTGTCTTCCCTTTCTTGATGACGTCCTTTGAAACACCGAAGTTTTTGGTTTTGAGGAAGCCCAATTTTTTTTGTTGTTCCTTATGCTTTGGGTATCATATTTAAGAAACCGTTGCTTGACCCAAGGTCATTACGATTTACTCTTGTATTTTCATCTAAGAGTTTTATGGTTTTAGCTCTTATACTTGAGTCTATGACCCATTCTGAGTTGCGTTTTGTATATGGCATGAAGTAGGAGTCCAACTTCATCCTCATGTGCCTAGCTAACTGTCCCAGCACCATTCAACTGCATTGACCTTTGTCAAAAATCAATTGATCATAAATGTGAGGGTTTATTCTGGGCTCTCAATTCTATTCCATTGATCTATATGTGTATCCTTATGCTAGTACCATACACTCTTAATTACTGTAGTTTTTTGTAGTAAGTTCTGAGATTGTGAAGTGTGAGCCCTCCAACTCTTTTTTTTTTTAAATTCAAACAGAAAGTCACAAAAATTATAATCATCCTTATCAGTTCACTCAGTCTCTGTTCTTCTTTTAAAAAATTATTTTGGCTCTTTTGGGCCCCTGATATCTGAATTATCAATATAAATTTTAGGGTTGGCTTGCCAATTTCTGCAAAAAATCAAGCTGGGATTTTGACAGGGATCGCACTGAATCTTTAATTCGGAGAGTATTGCTATCGTAACAATATTAAGTCTTCCAATCCATGAACAAAGAACGTCTTTCCATTTATTTCAGTTTACTTGAATTTCTTTCAATGATATTTTGTGGTTTTCAGGTACAAGTTGTGCACTTCTTTTGTTAAGTTCACTCCCAAGTATTTTATTCTTTTTGACATTATTGTAAATGGAATTGTTTGCATAATTACATTTTCAGATTGTGGCGTACAGAAACACAAATGATTTCTGTACCTTGATCTTGTATCTTACAATTGTGCTGAGCTGGTTTATTAGTTCAAATAGTGTGTGTGTGTGTGTGTGTGTGTGTGTATTCCTTAGGATTTCCTATATACAAGATCATATCATCTGTGAATAGAGACAGTTGCACTCCTTCCTTTCCAATCTAATGCTGATTTTTTTCTTTATCTTGCCTTACTGCTCTGGCTAGGTCCTCCAGTGAACAGAAGTGGCAAGTGTGGAGCTCTCTGTCTTGTTCCTGACCTTAAGGGAAAGTATCCAATCCTTCACCATCAAGTATTACATAATTGTGCGTTTTTTGGTAACTTTCCTTTTTTAAGTTGAAAAAGCTTCCTTCTATGCTAGTCATTGAGTGTTTTTATCAACAAAGGGTGTTGGATTTTGTCAGATGCTTTTTTGCATCTATTGAGATGATCAGTCGGTTTTTGTCCCTATTCTTTTAATGTCTTGGCCTGAATTTTGACACCAAAATGCATTTAAAGAAAGAAAATCAGTTTTGTCCAGCCAAGTGAGGCTTGTCAGATTCTCCCACTTCCTGCCTTTCATCCGACTGAAGATATACCCAGACAGAATGCACACTTGGATCTGGTTTGCATCTCCAACCTCAGAGAAGCTTCATCCAAACCCTGGCTATTGCTTTTAAAAATAGTCTGAGCTCATTTTAACAGTAACTCTTTAATTAATTAGCTACTGTAAACAAGTCAGGGGTCTTGGGAAGCAGTCAGGGTTTTGGTTTTTTTTTTCCCTCCGAAACTTTTTATGTCAGTTTATGACTTAAGGGAAGAAAAAAGTTTCAGTGTTTTTAAGCAAGTTCAGGAAGCTCTTTGGTGACTAATGGTTTTTTACTAGAAAGTCATACTTTTAGAACAAAATGTAGAGATCTTTTTTCTAAATGCAGTCTGCAGAATATTCATCAGTGAAACTCATTTATTCAGCAAGGCAGGGAACAGCACACTTTTTAACGCTAGATGGACATAATCTAATGAACTTCGAAGCTCCAGAAGAAGGAACAAAGACAAGACGAAAGCAAAACACAGAATTAAAGAACCAGATCCATAATGAGTCTCACCGAGTAGAAGCCTGAACAGGACGGAGAAAGGGGTGAGGGCTTCGGGCCCTCTTTAGTCATTCAGCAAATAACCACCAAGTACCTACCATCTGCCAGGTACTGCTCTAGGCACTACTGATACCCAGCGAAAACAAATAAAGATCCCTCCCCTCATAGAACCTATATTCTCAGAGGGGAAGAAACAAACAATAAGCAACAAACATAACAAATCATTCGCTCATATACAATAGCACATTAAAGATGCTAAGTGCGACGCAAAACAAGAATGGTGAAGCCGGATAAGGGCAAGCAGGATTAGCGTGGAGGCACCGGAGCAGGACGCGCAGCACCTGACTTGCTCACACCTGACACGCACGAACCCAGATTCGCACACCAGTCATCCAAGAAAGGAAATGTCACTCTCACTTTCCAGAGAACAAAGGCTCAGAGAGTTTAAGCAACATGTTCAAAGTACACCTGAAATAGCCAACAGAACAGAGATTCAAAGTAGGATCAATCTGACCCCCAAGCCCTAATAACAACCTACAGAGGGCATACCTGACTCCAACCAGAGAACAGCCTCTCACTCCTGAACAACAAACACATTCAGAAAAATCAAAACCAAAGAGGAAACAAGAAAAAGGAAAAAGAAAAAAAAGGTAAATCAAAACCACAAGGACTGTACGTATCTTCCCTGCTAGCTGCCTGCCTTCCATTCCTCATTTATAATGAACAGGCACTTCTGTGGCAAGGCATTATTATTTGCAGAGAATTTTTAACCCTTTGAGCGCTTCCATGACAGCCTTTGGAGAGACTAATTTAACAACTTCTGTTTACAAATGAGGAACGCAAGGCCCAGATGCTCAGAAAGGTGTGGAGGGGTCAGAGGTAGAGACAAGAGCATTTCTCTCGGTCCTCAAGTCTTTCTCTCCCTCTTGGCAAAATGCACACAGCAACGCCCAACAGCTCTCTGATTCGACACACTGATTAAAGCTTCCCAGGAGTGCGTGGGGAAATATATGATTTGGCTTTTTTTTTTTTAAAGAGACATTTATGAAAATAGAACCTGCTAGTAAAGCAGGATTTCATTAAAAAACCCAATCATA